AAGTTGTATAACTCAATAGTGAAATACACAATGTCCAACAATATACATGTAGCGTAAACACAACAATAACTATAGTAGTATGAACAAATCTCGTTCGATAAATACAACAACAGTTAACTGGTACAACAACTCAATAAAATTCTGCATGAACTTTAGTACAACGTACAGCCTAATAAAACTATACATGTCAAGAATGTACCAACAGTAAAAGCCCTAACCCTAGTTAACTGATTACATGTAATCTCTAATTAATATTCACTTCAGACGAGCATCACACAGATACATACAATCTTTGCTGTCTTGTAGGGCACAACACACGAAATTGCTAACTTTAACAATAAGCCAAACGAAAAACGTCCCTCCAAGCGCAAAGGTTCAAACATACAAAAATCATACAGTCGCGCGTGTACATGTGAGTAACGGAACTGATCACTGTTCGAAATTGTATGACAGTTTGCACAAAGTTAACTTTTGTTAGTCAATAACGAGTATCAAACCTGATCTTCAAGTTCCTTACGGTAGCGGCGAGTCCCTCAATGGTGTACTGGCGTCGATCACGTCAAAGCAACGGTGAAACCCTCACAACTGTAGCGACGGAGCGTAGGTCCCTTTGACTTTCAAGTAGCCTCAAACTTGACAAAACCAGTTCACTTCACTCGCCCACAACTGCTTCTACCAGTCGTTTGACTCAAAATACTCAGGCCCCACGGGTACCTGTCACTCAGCAAGGATTTCAACTCACAGTCCCATCGGCGATGGCCTTTTCTGGTCGCGCTGATCGGCTCAGGCCGCGTTTCAACCAGTCAACTCGGGACGGCGTGGTTCCACTTTAACGAGCAGCCATTGTTCCCCTGTCTTCACTACGCTGACGTCATCCGTTCCACGAAGTGATCACGTGATACTCGCATGTCAAATGCATTCACTCAGGAGCCAAAATAAGTTTCATAACTCTATTACGGCTATCCCTGTTAGTATAGTGTATGCAAAAAGCACATCCACACAAATCACTGCATGTCATGTCCGTCTGACAATCTATAAAATGTTCTAATTACACAATAAAATCAACAACTCAATGGTGTCAAATTTACCAGGCGACATATGGTCATAGCTTCTCACAAGAAAAATAAAACAATTTTGATCAGTCGAATGGTTTTAATTTTAAAGATTATAAATGATTATATAGATGAAAGAATCGGGTATGTTATGCAGAGTGTAAGGTCATGTGTTAAGAGTGTGGGGAAGCTCTGAAACTTAAATAATTGGCTCAAAATAGCTGGATACGTAGTTTAATATATAAACCGCCGCTAGCTAAATATCGGCAATGTACGTGAAAAATAACTTCAAAAATTGGGCTCAAAATAGTTCAGTAGCTAAATATCGGTACTTGTGCATACCAAATAACTTGGTTAGCTATTTAGATAATCTAAATTATAAGCTATTACGCTATTTATAACCTATTATAGCATGGTATGTATAGTTTAGATAGTTATATTAGCTAGCTAAATATAAGTAATTGTACAAGAAGTAAATGCAATCATGATTTACAAAGCAAACGCGTGCCGATTTGTCCAAGAGACATAAATTCACCAATCAGTTTGCGCTTATTTGTGTGTTTTTTTCCATTTCTTAATTATCATTCCAAGTTTAATGGAAACATATACTGACGTGGATGGATTCAAATATAGGTCAAAATAGATTCTTTTTTTACTTTTTTGATACACGAATATGTGCTCGAATTCGAAAGTATACATGTTTATGGTAATATCAAAAAACGTGTTGATGAATTGACATGATTGAAATGTGATTGGACCAAATACAGTATGACCACGCCTATAGCATCATATATTTTCTGATCAAGGGATTTGGGGTTCAGACCGTCGCTAGACAGGTTAGTTTCACCCTATTGATACATGTATTTAACATACGACTGGCGCCTGAATAAGCCTATTCTCTAAAAAGGGCGCGAAATGCATAATGAGTAAAATACGCTATTTTAAAAGATAATCAAGTCCGCGTCGCCAGGGAATCGTCGCGTGTTTATTCCTGTCAGACTGTTTCGAAACGCGCCCGTAAGTGGAGATTTTTCGTAATCCTTTTCGTAATGGAGGAAGAAAGATATACCCATACCCATACCTCGGCTTTGTTTATCTCTCGCTCCTGCGTTGCTAAGTTAAATTTCGTGCATGCGTGGTAGTAATTGAAAAAGATTCATAGACCGATATATAGCGGACTGACATGATTGGAACAAGTAAGGAACAAGTAAGGACACATAGTTCAGATTTGACGAAAGTATGAACTTAGACAACAGTCGCAACATAAAACTACTTGTTAAACTACTTTTTGTTAGAAAACATTATTCAATATTTGTGCGGTGGTCCTTACTCAATTTGGGGGAGGGCCAAAATGTGATAAGTTGATGATTGTGTAAGTTGTGATTGAAGCCTCAGGTCAAAGTAGGTCAAGTGTGTTATCATTGCAAGGGCGTGAATTGCCAGCCAGTCCTAAATTATATTATAGTGTTTTGTATGAACATGGTCGAAGACAAGGCTGCTTTGTTAGAATTGGCTTGAGGAATTTACGACACACTGATATTGATTCAGACATCCTGGTCGAAGTACACACTGATATTGAAACAAACATCCTGGTCGAAGTTTCTTCACCGCCGCCATGTCATGAGAGCTGAGCCGCTATTGACAAATAAAACTTCTTTCGATCAAGAGACGATATCGATCGCCCAGCAAATGGTGATTTTTTCGTCCTGCAGCATTCTTCTGAACAATTAAATGTTTCTCCATTTATCTACAGAGGGCAGGCACGCAAGACGAATGAGATTGCTACAAACGACGTGACACGAAGTGCAAAGGCGTGAGTGCAGTAGCTTCAGATGACACTGCAGTACGCTAAATACAAGAGGTTGAAATGCCATACCGCGGCGTAAAACTGCGTGCAATGGCATGTCATAACGCCTCATGCATGGCTCATAGTAGAATTGCATAGCGTGGCGTAAAATTGCAAACTGCATTATTAAATGAAATCTCAAAGTTATCATTCGTTATTCACGATTTTTATCGACCGAACACAAATGTTGTATTAGCGTGACATGTCCTCTCTGATATTACTTGAGATGTAAATACAAAACCCATTATTTTAAAAAATCAAAATTTACCACTATCTGAGATTAAATAATGTTAAAATTCTACTACTAAAATCAATGTAAAATACCATAAAATGTAATTCAGTTTTAAAATAGTGTCTTTTTTTCATC